AAGATAAACTTGAGACATTCATAGATAAATGGATGTAGCTTGAGAACATAATGTTGAGTGAAGTAAATCAGACATACAAGTTTAAATATCGCATACTTTCTCATACATATATATATATATATATATATATACACATATATGTATATGTGTGTGTATATGTAAAACAAAGGAAATAAGTTCTCATTTCCCCAAAATTACATACATTAATGCCTTGGCTCAAAAGCATGTCTGTAAATACTTCAGTCCACATACAGAAGCTTTCAGCAAAATTTTGCTCCCATTCACAAACTCCACTTCGGGTGATGAACAGAACCCAGCTATCTTCCCTGCAAAAACGCAGATGTGGCACTCTTCCCCAGCATCCTGGAACAAATTGAATTAGTAAACGAAAATATCACTGTGTTCTGTTTTTTAAAAAAAATTTAGAATACTATTTCAGTATATTTCAGTTTGATTTCCTATTATTATCTGTTTATCTGCCATTATTTCTTTTTGGTAGGAATCTTTTGGGTCTATGTCATACCGAGCAACTACTTCGAAATAATGATACAGAATGCAATAACTTTTGTTACTCTTTATTATTTGCTTATGAAATATGTGCTTCATTTTTTCATAAAATAAAAAGAAAAAAGGAAATTATTTTAAAAAATAAGAAACTAGCGCACAACTTACTCCCACTCCATATCGTAAATTATTTACGCTTGTTATCTTTTGCCATGAATCATGCAGAACAAGTCAGCAGTACTAGAAACATCTGAAGATAAGGAAAATAGTGCACAAATTATATGTTAGAAGGATTTACTCCCCCCCACACACAACCACCACCACCATCATTAACTGAATGACAATGTCTTAGGAAAATGATCAAAGCATTTTTGACTGATGACTTTAGATATGCTATACCATGTTAACAATGACTCATTATTTAAATATAGAAAGCATACTTTCTCAGTAATAGTTTGCAATAAGAAGAAAAGCTAATAACTTCTTTTTAAGTTAATTTATTTTTTTGCAAAAGTAATGTATGATCATTGTTTAGAAGTATAAAAGCATAGTAACAAATCTTTTACCCACCTGCCATCTGTTTTTCCTGACAAAGCATTGATTTCACCCCCAGAAATGTATGTAGAGAGTGAATTCCTAGAAGGCAACTTTCTAGGACAATAGCAATGGTTGCATGCACTTGACTTACACTGTCAAGTGCTCTACCGTAAGCAGTAACTGAATCTATACATGCCTCCAGTCATACAGAAGAATCTGTGTTTTCTCATTGCCTTGGCAGCAGAGTACGTTTTCAAACTTGAGTTTTTGCCAGTACAATAGACAAAATTCTCATTTTCACTTCTTTCATTGTGACCAAAGCTAATATTCTTTTCATGTAGTTAAAAATCTATTGTTATATTTTTTGTGTCATATTTTGTTCAAATTTTGGGGGGCTGTTGGTCATTTCCTTATTAATTTTTAGAAGCTCTCTAATGTATTAGAAAATTAGCCTCTTATCTGAAATTGGAGTCACAAAAGTTTTTTCTCCAGTTGTCATTTGTCCTTTGACTTTTTTGCCTGTGGATTTCTTGGTCATGCAGAAATCTCTAATTTTTATATAATCCAGTTTACCAATGTTTTATTGATTATTTAAAACTGTTTAACTTGAGGGTACAATTTTATTTTATTTTCTTTATTTTTTTGTCATTTACTACTGAGGCTCAGTACTGCTCTTTACCCTGAGAAGAAATTAATCCTGAATTTGGAAATAATCTTTAATTAAGCAGGTAGTTAGTAAAGGTCTATCATGTATAGGAACCCAGCTTATGAGGAATCAAAGCTCAGCTAATGTAAATCACATATTAAAAAGAGTGAAATAAATGGCATGATGGTGGGAAACACAAGTTCTATGAAAAACATGCCTAATGCCATATCATATTTAAGGGGAAAATGTCACCTTATTATAAACTATTGTTTCATTATTCCAGATATTAGTGAAATCTTCATTGCACTGCTTTCTGTCAGGCAGTATTTTAGCTCTATAACCAGGGAAGCATAGGTTGTAAGGGTGAGAAGGAAACAAACAAGCTTAGTTAAATGCTACACAGATTTCTATGCTTATATTTGAAGCCTAAATGAAATGAGAACTATTTTGTGATCAGATAAAAAGAAGTTCATAGCTCAATTTTAGAGATTTTAGAAAAATATGATGGCTATTATCTCTGGTAGCTCCAGAATCTAGAGGCTCTTACATGGTGTTATTTGAAGCTGTAAAGTGCCTTTTATATGTACTTGCAAGTCGAAAATGTTCCAATAAAAATAAAATGTTTAGTTACCTTCTTCCAAATGCCAGGAAAATAAGGCAATGGCATGATTAGATTATGCATTACAAGTATAGAATTACCCCTGTGGTATAATCTCTCCCTCTCTCTGTCTCTGTCTATCTCTGTCTCTCTGTCTCTGTCTGTTTCTCTCTCTCTCTCTCTCTCTCTCTCTCTCTCTCTCTCTCTCTCTCTCTCTCTCTGTCTGTCTCTCTCGCACACACATACACACAAACACATACACATGTATATACTCATAGATATTAGCACCACAGGTGTGGTTATTGATTTGAACTCATAAAATACAAATAGACCCAATTGATCTAATACTATGTTACTGTGTATACTTTGCTTTATAGCAGGATATAAGTCAGACAAATCAGATACAGCTTCATGATTCATTATCTATGGGCAACCATTCAGGCTACTTGAGTAATGTGCTTCTTTTGTTCTTTCACCAAGAAAGACAGGTCAAGACATGTAAAGGTCACCTGAAATAGGAGCTGCAAACTCTGTCCTATCAATCTTTTTTACCATTTCACTCACAAAGTTACAAACCCTGTATTCCAACTTGGTGCTCCCAAAGTAAGGTTCAGTACCATACGACAAAGGGCAGACTCAACATTTCCCATTCATTTTAACTTTATCCTTTCCAAGGAAACAATGCTGGGAGCCTAAGGTTAGTTCTAGGCTGGCTCGCTTCAGCCCTGGCTAGATGTTAACCCTTTGTCCATGTACTCACCTGCATTTTACACAGCACATGGAGTGGTTTTACATTATGTTTTATTGACCATATTACTTACATGTAACAAGATCTTGTGTAAAATTCCTTCCCCTATAAATTAATTGGTGATTTTGTCCATGAATGCTTTTGTATGTCCAATTAAAGAATGTAATATTTATTAATAAATTCATTAAAAAGTATCGAAGCAATAGTTCCAAAATACGTGCTATTGTTTAGCATGTTAGTTTACTTGTATATTGCATGTTAGTATACTTGAAGATTAGTATATAGACGCCAGTGTCTTGATGTGTTTATTCAGTTGACCTTTAAATTTTCTCTATTTCTTTTTATAATATATTATTATATAGTACCTGTAACACTTTTATTATATATATATATATATATATATATATATATTTTATATATATTTTGTTTTTTTGAGACACAGTCACTCACAATGGGTTTGAATTCATGGTGATCCTCTTGCCTTAGCCTCCTTAGTGCTGGATTATAGGCTATTCATTTTACAATATATCATTATATTCATATTATCAGAACAGTGTTGCTAATACCCTAAAGAGTTGTTGGTTCATATCTATATATTTGTTTTTTTGGTACTGGGGATCTAACTCACAACCTCACACTTGCCAGGCAGGCGCTTACGCCACTGAGCTAAATTCCCAGCTATTAATGCCATTTTTGTTTGTTTGTTTGTTTTTGGTATGGGAATCAAACTCACAACCACGTGCTTGCAAGTCAGGCACTTATGCTACTGAGCTAAAGTCCTGGCCCACATCCACATTTTGTTACTGGATAGTGGTTTTAATTCTTGATATTCTGAAGATAAGTGCTTTACTTTTGCTAATCCTGGCTCTATCGTTCCATTCATGCTTGAGCTACAGTTGCTAATATTTCATGGCTCGTTATTTTCACTGTCATGCAGAATATTATGCTAACCTATTTTTTATGTATTTCTTTATGGAATCCTTAGACATTATCATTGCCCCCTGTCTGTAGAAGAGGCATGGAAAGTAAAAGAAAACTTGATTTAAATTTTAGGCAAGAACTAGAACAGTATTTAAAGCCTAATTGTAGACCTTACAATATTTAATATTCCATCATTCTTCTTCTTAACTATTTAAAGTTTTTCTGTTCCAATATTATCAACTACATAGAAAAGTGGTATAATTGTATTACACATCAGAGACTTGATGGGTAGATAAAAGAAGGCAATAAATCTAAAATCTCTAAGCATGATGCTTAGTATATAAGTCTTTATAGTAATACAAATGTTCTTTATAATTTCATCCTAATCATTTGCTTCTGGTTTATTTGGCTAGACTAGGGATCACAAGCTATAGCTCCCTAAAGTGCTAACTTCACCAATTTTCTATGTATAGCAAAGATTTTATCATATAATTTTTCTTAATGTAAAAGGAAGCTAGAAACAAGGCAAAGAAATTATTGCTGTACAAACAAAAAATATAGTTTGGTTTGGTTTGAAGTTTATCACACTCTTTAAGTATAAATCACCCATTTGAGATTAGAAAACCTATGTTACATAATTAGCACTGATGATAAATAACATGACTTATTTTGCTTATAACTGAAAATGCAGTATGACTGGTATATAATACATAAAATACCATTGTGTTAATGATATTCATTTAGAAGGTATTCATTTACACTTATGAGTTGGGGTTGGTTAAGCATTTGTGTAGGTGTGTGTTTTGAATTTCTAAAAAGGCATTACTGGTTTTAAGGTATAGAATTTTTGTGGAAAAATATAATTGCCAATATTTTAATTAAATCTTAACGTATAATAAATGTAAATATTAATATCATGCTAGTAATATACCAAAATCAGCAAATTTCTATAATATATTATGATGAATAATTTTGAAAATACTTTTTTGTTTTTTTGTTTATACCATGATAGTCATTTATCGTTTGTTCATGTTTTCCCCTCTCAGGTTTCTAGAGCTTTACCTGAAAAACAAAGAGAACTTGAGCTTCACATAAAAGACCTTGGGCAGCTTGAGGAACAATTAGATCATTTGCTTTTGTGGCTCTCTCCTGTTAGGAGTCAGTTGGAAATTTATAATCAACCAAATCAAACTGGACCATTTGACATTAAGGTAGGACTTTCTGCTTTATATATCATTTCCTAAAAGGACAACAGTATCCCAGGTTTCATTATCATTGTTTTCACTGTGAAAGAAAAATTAGTTGTTTAAGTACGGTAAGGAGGACTTTATTCAGGACATCCTGAGAGGTTCCTGCAACAGAGTTTTGTTACAAGTTGGTGAAATTAAGTTAAACACTGAATAAAGCATGGGCAAGTGGGAATTCATAGCTCAGAAACAGAATGGGGACCACCAGGTGAAACGTAACTATTAGGAAACATCAAGAGTGAGATTAGATTCTACCAACCTAACAGAATCCTTGTTGAAAACAGGACAAGGTGATCGCACATCACCTGGCAGTATTGTAGGATAAGGAACAAAATCAGATATTGAAGTTGATCTGATACCAAGAGTAAGGGGTTCTAGCTAAGTTGATTTAGCATGGTTCTTTCCTAAATGAATTTTTATACAGATACCATAGCCTTAGAAGAAGTTTTAGAAACCTGACTAATGTTTGGGCAAGCAGAAAATCTTTGCCATCATTATTATTGTTATTATAATATTTATTATAATTAGAGTAGCATTTTTATTCCATCATTTACTTGAAATTTCTCCACTAAACTCATATCTTAGAAAGGATGCAAAATATGTTCTATAATCTATTCTTCATCCCTACTTTAATTACATGTAGTACATAATTGTAGATTTCATGCTTAAATTGATTTTTATCTAAATTTCTTAGAATAAATTTTAGGAAAGATGTATTCAAATGAAGATGATGAACAAGTAGAATGCTAGAGGTGTTTGGTTCATTTACAATGAGTTATATTTGCAAAGTGTACTTCATTCATTTTACCTTACTTATTTCTGACATTTGTACCTACTATTCTGATAGCTATTCCCCAAGAGCAGATGCCCCTATAGAAGTCACAGGTAAAAACATCATTTGACCGATATGGAACACATTCTGCTCTATCAGTGGCATAGTATTGGATTGAGTCTGACAATGACACTCCTAATCAGCAACAGCCATTACCCAGTGACAAATTTTGTTAGCATTAAGAAAATATACAAACAAATAGTAACACTGCCTACAATTAATGGTAAAGTGCAGATCTTGACACTAACACATGATTTCTGATGTCTGAGTTACCCTGCATGTGAGTCATGCATGGTCACAAGGAGCAAAACTTTATAGTGTACAAAATATGTTCAATTCAGAGACATAATCAGTTCTAACATCCCTTCAGTTTTTTCATTTGGCTAGAGCATAATGTCCTGAGAGCTATTTCACTAGTTCATATTCACCAGGGCAGCTACATCTCAATACTGATGCTTCTGTACTCCATAAATATTCCAAACAAGGAAGTACAGTTACTTGGACCAATATACAGTTTCCTCAGCCAGATTCCCAATTATCATGGATCCAGTATATTCTTAAAGTCTTTGATTTAGTATTGCAAAGAGGAATGCACATAAACTCTTTCCCCTCAACCAGAAACGGCTTTTTGTTAATTCACAGCTAGAAGCGTATTCCTCTCAGTTCAAATATAATATCTCATTAAAATGTGCCTCTGCATTAAAATAATGAAGTATATGCTCACTGTTAGCTATCGTTGTTTGTGAAATATATTTAAAAGATAGGATAACAAAATCCTCTGACACAGATATATTCTATTGATTTATCAAAGTAACATTAGTCTTAAGTCTATGCTCCCCTCAGAATGGTTCTCACATATTGAAAACATTGGGTCTTTTCCATGGACCATCATTCTCTGCCAAATGAGTCTCTCCAATTTGGAGTGAAAATCACCCTTAGCTGTGCTAATGAATTATTGCCTTTATAAAGTTCTGCATCAGTAGCCTCACTGCTGTGTGTAGTTAGAGAGTCATGCTATCCACCTCCTATGGTTCAGTCTGCATCCCTAAGGAAGAGGCAGCTGCTTTTCCCTTGCAGAAAGGCCCTTGGGCTTGGCCTTAGGTGCCTCATCTAAGTGTTTCATCTCTGGAGTTCAGATTTCAAAAATATTCCTTCAGTTCCCCCCCCTTCGGCTTATGGCTGTATCCAAGGAAGATAAAAAGAAGATAAAACCATATAGATATAGATATAGATATAGATATAGATATAGATATAGATACTCACATTACACACACACACACTATATATATAGTGTGTGTGTGTGTGTGTGTGTGTGTGTGTGTGTGTAATGTGAGTATTTCTCCCAATAATTCTCAAATCCCCATCTTATAATTAGGAAATGGTGGCCTGTGTGAATAATTTAATCAGTTACCTAGTTCTTTATTCCCTGTTGTCCAGCTTTTCTCTCTACTTTCTGCCTAATAAATGATTTATTAAGATTAGAGTTCTTCTGCTGTAAGGTACAAGATTTTAAGTCTTTATAGCCTGCTGCAGCTCTCTTCTTAAAGAGATTAAAGTGTTTTTTTCAATTAAAGAAACACAGGAAAAATGTGTTTTTTTGTGCTAAACTTTAAACTTCCAAAAACCAGAACAAAAAAAGGTTTTAACCATTTTTGAGAGTATATGCATTTTTAACACAAAAAGAAACATTTAAAAAAATCAGCAATGAGTTAATTCAAATAAAACAGATGTACAAAGAGCTAGGTAGGTCCCTATCCCTGTTTTCTAAATTTTAGGAAACTTAGATTTGCTTTTCCTGGTGGTGGTGGCCATGGCTCCCTCTATAGCAAAGGACCCGAAGCCCTGCCATTCAGGTCATTTGTTTTTTCCAGCCCAACTCTGAACACCTGTTAGGAAAAAATAATACCCTCTGTGATCCTACGTTTTGCCTGCTTAGCACCTCATGCTTATTGATGAAATGCAGCTAGCTGTGTAATGAAACCCAAATAAAAAAAAGAGCCTTAAGGGCTCTGTTCTAATACATTGTTTATGCTGGAGTGAAAATTGACTGCACATCGCTTGGTTTGTGCAATTTACTCCCGAAATATTCCTATTCAGGAAATCCTGCAAATAGCAGTATTCATCTTGAAAATCACCTCACAGAACCCTTAGCAAGCTGAGAAACATAATCAATGAGATCGTGAGATAGAGGGTGAAAATTAGGCATAATCACAGCCCTTTCCATCAGTCAACCCACTAGAAGGCATGCCTTTGAATTTTGATTTTGAAATGTACTCTCAATTTAGACATAAAATATGTTGATTTCAGATTTCACAAATGATAATTGAATGCTAACATCCAGGGACCAGTTTAGAATTTCTATAAAGGGTCTTATGTTTTTAATCTTTAATGAAGGCTTTCAATAATGAGCTAGAGGTATACTATTTATCTGAAATAAAACTGTCCACCTACTTCTTTTCAAACTTTATTAAAATATGAGTTGGAGGAATACATCATTTAATATTAAAGTTTCCTGCCTGAAATACTTCCTTATTAATGAGATGAGAGTTTCAGATTTTGTCTTCCCCTCAAGAATAACTTTCTTTCTCTAGTCTACAATAAACACAATATGCTACTCTCCTTGCTCTTCCTTACTATATAAGAGATATAATTGTCCATAATGTCAAATCCACATAGAAGTGACAGAATTATAATGACTGACCATTAAAGTAGCTGAATACTAAAAACTCTTTGCCTTATGTGTTCACATAGCTATGAGTATTACCATAGAAAATTTACACTGGATAATGGAACAGGTAAGAAAGACTATTCAAAACTTTTGCAATGGAAGGGAGAGATTGGACTCAGTTCTACAGAAGCAAAAGATAGGAGAACTTTTAAGTGCTAGGCGAATTAGTGGGAAAAACTGTACGATGTTGGGGGGGTTGGTCATTGTAATTATACCATCCATATTTGCTAATTGAAGCTTATTGCAGTTAGATTCTTATCCTCCCAGAGACTGGAATATAGGGCCACTAACTACCTTGATGAGTACATTGCAAAGCGGTGAATATTGGATTCTTAAGAAAGACTCTCCTGGAGAATAAAATCAAGATGCTGGGAGATTTACATCCCAAAAAAGGAGAGAAAGAATGGATAATAGATGAATTTTATAGGAAATTCTTTATGGAACAGAAAATTCAGTCAGAAGATCTGGGAGAAGTCTGTCTCAAGTTTAGTCACACTGAGTGTGGTGATGGTAAGGACATCCTTATCAATTATTCTTTTTGTTTAGGGAAACCAGGTTTTCCCAACGAACAACTTGGGAGAGCTGGATCATACAGCTTATTTCAGCAGCTTACTGTTGTTGAAGGACTAGTTGAACCAACTCTGAGACTTAGAAGGCATTCAACACAATCCATCAGGCATTTCATGAGGGAGATTTCTATGAAAGTAAGACAAACAAAGACTAATGGTCATAACAGATCATAAATTCAGATTATGGTTCTAGAGAGTATCCAGTCAAACAATTCTTACATGTTGGGCTGGAAGTGTCTGTAGATGGTGAAGTTGGCATGGTACTGGCAATATGGTGGAGTTCTTGGTTTTCAGATTAAATGCTTTCAGTGATGGCACAGGAATTAGACTTCAGTGAGGTCATCTACAACCATGGGTATTTCCTGGAACAGAGCATGGAAGATGTGGATGCTTCATGAACTTCTGGAGTGACATGCACATAAATAGCTACAGGCAGGAAAGTTGTCGATGCATAATTTGCTACAGTGGACTCCTTTATGGTTAATAGCAAGTCAATCAATGTTAGCTTGCAGGGCTTCTGTAGATTCTGTAGTGAAAGGGCAGCTACATTCCAGCCTAGAATCTCAGTCAGAACTGGGCAGTCAGGTTTACTTCTGCCAAGTCAGGAGTGTAGAGGAGAAATTGGAAAGGTTAATTTGAACAGTGGTAGGCAGATATTGAAGAGAGTAGAAGAGTCAAAAATTGGTAAAACTTACAAGGCCTGTAAGACAGTAGAATCCAGTCCAATTTGCAGATAGGTAAGAAACCAGGCAGTTTACAAAGAAATGCAAAGTAGTTCAAAGAAAAGTAATAAGACTAGAAGCTGATAACTCACAAGAGTGCGTATAGCTTCTTA